GAACAACTCACCTATCTTATTCTACACCACCGTTAAAAACCTAGGTGTTACTTTCGATCAATCCCTATCCTGGAAACCTCACATCTCCCAAATTTCCCGTCGCACTATCTCCACCCTAAAACAGTTCAATCGTCTACGATATCTCCTTCCATATAAGTCCCGTCAACTCCTAGTTTCCTCCCTTGTTTTCCCCCACTTCGACTATGGCTGTATGGTGTACGGTGGACTCCCGGGAGATTCCGAGGCCAAACTTAAACGCCTAATGAATTGCGCACTACGATTTGTTTTCGGAATCTCAAGGGATACGCATATTACCCAGTATTACACTGAGTTGAGGTGGCTCTACCCATCCTATCGCCGTCAGTACTTCCTAGCCACCTTTCTGTACCAAATCATTAGAACCCATCGACCCTCCTATATTTTTCACAGCTTACAATTCAAATATTCCATCCAATCCCGTCCCACCAGATCTCGTACTTCCGACCTCTATCCTCCTCCTCACCGAACTGCTGCGTTTGACAAATCCTTTGTAATACAAGCCGCCTCCCTCTGGAATTCCATCCCAGCTGATATTCGACACGCTCAATCAGTTTCCTCGTTTAAACCTCTCCTCTTTAAGCACCTACTCCTTTCTCAATCCGAATGATTGTGAAATATATCTAAGAGAAATATCTGAGCACCACCAGAGACTACCTCAATTTATTAAGGTTATTTTAGTTTCTCATACATATGTACAATTTACTTGTTCTTTTCTTTCTCTTTTCTGTATTTTTATCGTAAGTCAACTTTCATTGTAAAGACACAACTTAATTGTAGCCACACAGCCATATAATCTGTATTCATATTTTGTTCTTAAGGGACAACAGTCCCAGAATAATTAAACATTTTTTTCATTTCATTTCATTTCATTTTCATTTCATAAATAGAATAAATTATACAGAAAAATAATATATATATATATATATATATATATATATATATATATATATATATATATATATATATATATATATATATATATATATATATATATATATACAATAAATAATAATAACATAACCTAAAAATAAATAAATAAGAAGAACACATATATACCTATATACAATATTTACAATCCGGCAAGAGAATTCCAAACCAGACTTGCCCCTCCAACTGTGGACGGAAAAGCATGACTCCAGGAGATCACTGCACTTCTCTCTCAGCCGCGTCACTGAGGCTAAACCCAGTGGAGATTGAAAAAGAGTGCTTTAGCCATGGAAAATCTGGGCCATTGCAAGAACTTCAATATTTACAAACTATAAAAAAAATAGTCGCCGGGCCACTGCCGTTTTAACCTCCTTGGAGGATTATAGAGATGGGTGGTGCTGGATAGAGATTGTGCAAAGGGATTTGGATGATAGGTAAGGTTCTGGTGAAATTTGGAGAATTTTGCTGGGATAAGGTCTAGGACAAATGGGATATTAAGGTCATGGTGTAGGGTTTTGTTGGTTACATAGAAAGGAGCATCTACTATTGTTCGAAGGACTTTGGATTGGAAGGATTGGATGCGTTTGATGTTAGAAAACTTTGCTGTTCCCCACAGTTCAAGTCCGTAAGTCCAAGTAGGTTTCAGTATTGTCCTTTAGATAGATAAGTATTTTATTTTCAATAGAGAGTTTAGATTTTCTATTTAGTAGTATGTATAGTTGGCCGTATCGTCGGTCAAGTTCCTGTCTTTTAAGTCTAGTATGACTGTTCCACATTAGTCGTCTGTCTAAGAGAAAGCCAAGGTACCGGACTGTGTCTGAGAAAGGAAGCTGGATGGAATTAAAGTGTACTGGTGGACAGGTTCTGCGTCGGAACGTGATGGTGATGTGTTGGCATTTGGATTCGTTTACTTTAATACACCATTTATTACACCAGTGCTCAATCAGGGAGAGGTGTCTTTGAAGGTTTAAGGATGCTATATCAGGATCTGATTCGGATGATAAGATGGCGGTGTCATCAGCAAAAGTTGCCAGGAAGGCATCGGGATGGACAGGGATATCGGCGGTAAAGAGGATGTAAAGGACGGGACCCAATACGCTTCCTTGAGGAACACCAGCCTCAATTGGATAGGCTTTTTCCCAATGTATACATTTCAAGACTATAGGAATCAAGATATCCTAATATTAAGAGGCCAATCAATCAAGAAAATCAAATATCCATGATATGGTCTATACAATTACAACAAAACATTCTGTTTCAACAATAATTCCTTCATTCATCTGAAAAACTTGATTAAACTCGGTAAGAATTTTAATACATAATCGAGATGGGTATTTGGTGACCTTCAAATAATTGTAAGACAAGCTCCGTATAGTACCAAAAAGGGATGGCTCATGGAGACATTGCGGCGATTACAGATCCCTGAACAACATAACCCACCCTGATAGGTATCCTGTATCTAATTTACAGAATTTCAACTCTCAATCACACAAGAAAACTTTCAGCAATGTAGATCTAGTGCGTACGTTTCATCCCCGTTGCACCGATTGATATAAAAAAAAACAACAGTTATCCGTTTGGATTTTTTAGATTTCCATTTGGGTTCAGAAATACTGCTCAGTCATTCCAAAGATTTATCCACTCTATTCTACGTCCCTTACTTTTGTATATACTTATATCGATGATCTCTTGATTGATTCAGAAGTAGAATACCAAAGACATCTAGATTCGTTATTCCAACGACTTTGACAATTTGATACGGACATCAAGTTATCCAAATGTATTTTAGGGATTACCTAAATTGACATATTTGGTTATAAAGTTAAACAATTTGGCATATCTCCACTATCAGACCGAGTGAAAGTGACCCTCAGCTGTGTTTCTTTAGCAAAAAACTGTTAATCAACTACTCAAGTTTCTTGGTTTTGTTAACTTTTACTGATTCGCTACCTTAGACTGTGGCTACTCTGGGACGACTATTTGAGCTTTGTGGTGAGGTGAGAAAGAAAGACAAACTAGAGGTAAATAGGAACTCAACTGCTATCCATGCTTTCTATAAAATCAATGAAGAGATTGCTAATGCTAGCCTTCTTAACCACCCATCTTCCAATCTTCCGTTTATTGATGCTTCTGATTCAGCTGTTGGTCCTGCTCTACATCATAAAAACAATTAGGTGTAGGATCTCTCAGCTCCATTTCCATAAAATTGTCCAAATCTCAGGTGTCATATAGCACTTATCGAGAACTGCTAGCAGCATTCAAGGGTGTCAAATATTTTGGCTAAATGCTCGAATCACGCCAATTCATATTGTATACAGACAACTAGCCACTTACTTTTAAATTTCAAAAACGTTCTGAAAAAGCAAGCCCCAAGCAACTGAGCTGCCTTGACTTCATAGATTAGTTTGTCACAGACATGGGCAATTTACCAGGAAAGCTCTATATTTCAGATAATATGCGCTTCAGTTTTTGTTTGATCTTCAATCCCGCTTAAACTTACAGCTGAAGCTCACTAAGAATGTGAGAAACTTACTAATCTTCAAAATTCATCTAGTTCTTCTCTTTAGTTTTAAACTCTTCAACTGAGTAACGGTTCACAACTATTTTTTTATTCATCTTCTGGTAATCTCTGACCATTCGACCTAAAAGAATTTCCACAACAAATCTTTGAATCATTGTAAAACCTAGCACATTCCGGGAAAGTTTCGGTTGATCTAATCAAATCTCAATTTATGTGGCCATAACTGAAGAAAGTTGAACTATGAATCAAGTCATGCATCCCTTGCCAAATCCCTTGCAAAATTTTGTATGCACACCTCATCACTAGTTGCTAATTACAGCCAAGTGGAACCACGATTATCAAATAGACATAGTTTAACCACCTTCTAAAGGCTATTAAGACTTTCGCGCTGAAGCTCCCTTCCCAACATGGTCAACTATAACTATGTCTTATGAAAAAAATATTTAAAAACATTATCTCTAAAAGTATTATTGTTGATGTAATCACATTTAATAGGGCTTCAAGAATAACTTAACCACTATTTCATATAGGTAGTTAGGTGTATCTTCTAAAGTAATAATCGTTTTACACACACACACACACACACACACACATTGGCAAAAAGAACTTCGGTTGAAAATGTTTTAGAAAACATTTTGATAATTAACAGCAATCATTATGGCGAAAATGAATGAAATTTGAGACTTTCGCTTTTCATTATGAGCAGCCTATATCATTACTCCGCCACTATAATGCAACCATTGTGATCATTTTTATTTTTATTTTCTAATGTCATGCCAGTAGTGATTAAAACCATATGGACCATCAATGTTTATTTTTTTTCATTCATATACTATCTTGAATATGTCTTTCAGCAAACTGCAGTCGTCGCTGCAAATGATGTTTTTTGAGCTGTCGTTTTCTCAAAATCTTACAATATTTTAAGAACTTTAATTCAACTATCTATTTCCTCACTAAGCTAATATCACATCCAAATTTAATCACATCTGTGCAGAGGATGTTCCCTGTTTTCGAAATATCTTTCAAAACCGCCTGCTTCACATGATTCGAAAATTTTTAAGGTCTTACAGTTCTTGTATTTTTTCCATAATTGTCTAGATTGCAATTTAAAAAGTATTTGACTACTTGTTTTAAGTATTTGACTAGGAGCGGTTTAATTTGCCTCTGGGTCATCACAGCTGTTCTTAAGTCTTAAAATTTCTTAGACCCAAAATTTCTCTTGTATTTATAACGGGGTCATACTTCAATTCAAATCATTGAAGTTTGATTCAAATCAAATCATTGACTTTTAATTGAATAAACATTTAAAAGAAAATTGTTGATGTGACCCGTAAATTACAACAAATCTGATTTTGCTGTTTGGAAATGGCAGAAAAGTGCTGGTTTATTGTATAAGTACATTCATGTATAATTATGACCCTACCTAATTGAAAGTATTTACGATGTATCAATAATATAAGAGTATTTCGCTTAGATAATAAATAACCTAATTTTTTTTTTCATTATTAATCAGGCAAAATTGTGACATACATGCTGTGAAAGTATTGCGAAGATTTTATCAGAAACCTTACTTTCTGCCAAATACTATTTCGCCAGCTCATTTCAACTGGGTATTCATGTCTTCCGATTACAGCTCAAGAAATTACAAAAAGGTAATTGGGTTGTAATATTACGTTCATAATTCTTTTACAGATTTTTTTATCCTTTCATGTCACAAATGATAGTTTTAGTTCCTTTGATTTTAATTTTGTTGAATCTCGTATTTTCTATTGCTACAAAGAACTATCTTTGGAATTATTTTGCTTTGCTTAATTGATATTACATGTTTATTTATTTATATATGATATGTTAGGATCTATAAAGACAGAATCGTATCCTTTCAGATAGAACTTGACTTTGGCTTAATAATGTTAATTCAGCTGAGGGGAAATACATCAGTAAGACTTCTTCCATACAGACCATGCAACGATTCTTGCTCTGATCTTTCAGCTACTCTTCATCAGGGAGAAATATGTAAGTATAGTATTTAAGTCTTTCGATGTATGTACATGTCATCTCATTCGCTAAAAACATCTATGATAAAAACAATTTTTATGAAAGATCTATCTGCAAAATTTTTATGAAAGATCTTCCTCCACAATTTTCATGAAAGATCTTTCTGCACTTAAAAACTATACGTCATTAGGTCATAAGGGTATGCATTAGTAATATCTTCAGTTTCAAAGATTACCTGATTTGAATGCTGAATTCTATTAAAGGAATCTCTTCAATAAATTATGCCCTTTCTTCATTCTCTAAGCCAGGAGATCCTAAACTACTGTAGACTTACCATTGTATTATATAAAGTCAAATGTGTTAGAAATTACAAAAATCAAAATATGCCTCCAGTAAAAAGCCATTCAGATTTGTTTCTATAGCCCTTCAAAACAAATTCGTATTTAAATAAAAAATATAAATTTTTAGACTTGACTTTATTGGAGGATTTTTTTTTCCTGCTCCTCACTAAAATATTCGTCATTTATTATAATTTTTCCCAAATTCAACGTTACTACAACCATTGAAAAGAGGAATCCACGGTATCATAACCCATACCAATAACATTTAGATTCTATGCCTTTATAAGGAATAAATAAAGAAAAACTCTGCAAACGTTTTTGTGTTCTATTTAGAATTCTGTTATTTATAGGAGTCGGGATGATGCCCGAACTTTAGTGTCCTTTAAACTATAAGAAATATCGTTTAAAGGACACTAAAGTTTCAAGTGTTAAAGTTGTCGCACTTTTAGTAATTTAGTAAATTTAGAAGAAAAAAAAATCAAAGACCAAATGAAAGTAAAAATGTTTATTTTTCGATTGCTTTGAAAATTCGTATTAAAGGGTTGTTCGAGATCTAAAAGAATTATCAACTTTGTTTCCCCTTGAAAAAAATATATAAACCCACTTAGCTCCTTCTATGAGTACGAGTTGTTTCAAAATTGTATATTACTACTAATAATTGTATATTAATACTAACGAGTATCGAGAAAAAGGTTAGATGTGCAAAGCCTGGTATGTTTGACTCGGTCCAGAAACAAGAATAAATTTTTTTTTTATTCATTGATATTTACAATTGTATTATAAAAAAAAATACAACTAGTAAATGTGCACACAGTAATAATACAATCACATGAAAACGCTTGTTGAGAAACTACCCATTGGTAGCACTCTAATAATATATTTACATAAGTAGACCACGAGGCCATCTTCTTTTCAGACGCCTCGGAGGGTTATCAGGGATCGAGGATGAAGCAAGATTTGAAACGAGAGGGTTCGGATGGTTCTGGAGTTTGTTATGGAAGGATAGGTATCTGGATTGGGCCAAATCGGAAACATATGGAACATTAAGTTCTTTATGGATGATTTTATTTGTGACAAAGTAAGGAGCGTTGAGGATTTTACGAAGGATTTTGGATTGTAAGGATTGGATACAAGAGAAATTCGATGGTTTAGTGGAACCCCAAAGCTCAATTCCGTAAGTCTAAATAGGTCTTATTACTGTCATATAGTTAAGTCGTTTGTAGTGGATTGAAAGCTTAGAGCGTTTGTCTAGTAAGTGTTGGAGTAGTCGGAAATGTCGAGCAGTTTCTTGTCGTTTCAGTCTTGTATGAGGATTCCATGTGAGTCGTTTGTCCAGGTGGGGTCCTAGGTAACGGATTTGTTCAACTGGGATAAGTGGGGAATTATTAAAGGATACTGTGGGCCAGGAGGTCATGGGTTTGCGACGCAGGGTAAAGGTAATTTGGTGGGATTTATTGGAATTTATTTTAATTCTCCAGTTTTTACACCAGAGTCTGGCATGCGTTAACCCTACACATACACTCTTTATTTCGTCTCTTATAATGTGACTTTATTGTCAGTGAAATAATTCATGTTATATGTGAAAAAGTAGTGTGAACTGTTAAGTTAACAATTAAGTTGAAACTGGACATAAATAAGGTGAGTAATCACTTATTTATAACGGCATTGTGAACAGTGTAAATAGACCTGAGGATAGTGATAGATAACAAGCCGGCCATATACATTCGCTAATCCGACCAGTGGGCTGCTGCCCTTCGGCGGAAGCACATTTACGTTACTCAGAATTCTACAAACTCGCGTAATATATACGTAATTGATAAAGGACTTTTTTTTTGCAAATGATTACATTTACCTCTAATTAATTAACATGAGATGCGATATGTTCACATGGTAATGTCGAGCAAAGGTAGCAATCGAACTTTAAGATCTAGGAGTCTCGATACCACGAAGAGTCCACCTATCAAGAAAAGGGCTAGACGCTCTAAAAAAAATACCCCGCCAGCTACACCAGAGAGCTCAGTTGACGAAGTCGAAAATCAACCTGGCACATCATCACAAAATATGTCAACACAAGCTATATCAATGCAAGGTAGGTTAGAAGAATCGCCCTTTTTTACAGCTAATCCATTCCAAGTGTTATCAAACACACAGAATGAACAAATGGAAGCAGTACCCATCCCTAGTGAACCTAAACCCCCACCAATATTCGTTAGAAACATAAAAAATTTGCAATTAATTTGTCTACAATTAAATAATATAGTGGGCTCAGGTAAATACTTATGCCAAAGCCGCACTAATGACACGAAATTAATGCCTGACACCCCAGATACGTACAGAAAAATTGTCAAGTATTTATCTGACACTAAGGCGGATTATCACACATATCAGCTGCGCCAAGAGAGAGCGCTCAGGGTGGTGATCAGGAGATTACACCCATCAACACCGCTGGATGCCATTAAAGAAGAACTAACTGAGATGGGGTTCCGTGTTCGCCAAATAGTGAATATATTCAAGGAAGATAGAGAACAGCCTGGCTCAAAAAATAAAATACCGCTCCCACTATTATTCGTTGACCTTGACCGAACGCCCCAGGTCGAAGACATCTACAAGATCACACGCCTTTACTACACTAGCGTTGTTGTAGAAAAGCCCTACACTAAGCGCGACATTGTACAATGCCATAACTGCCAGGCTTATGGTCATACGAAACGCTATTGCCACCACATTCCTAGATGTGTCCGGTGCGGTGATCAACATAAAACAGAGGACTGCCAGAAGTCCAGAAAAACACCAGCTGTATGCGCTTTATGCCATCAAGGGCACCCAGCGAACTACAAGGGTTGCCAAACATATAAGGAACTAAAAGCAAGAATTTATTCAGCTCCAAGAGAAGAACGGCCATCCAGGCCACCAAGACAACCCTCTAGAACTGTAAATACAAGAGTGTCCTATGCTCAGATATTCAAAGGAGATACTGCACCCACACAAACTCAGGCTCTGCCACAAGAACCTCAACCTCGAGTATTCACATCTCAACCTCAAGACCCTTATCCCATCTCTGAACCTAGGCCTAATAACCAGACATTCATTCCTCCTCCTCCCAATGCCACTGACCTCACAAGTCTATTGACTTCTTTTCTCTCTGAATTCAGATCACTCATCACTCCTCTCATTTCCTTACTTACCAATGTTGTATCCAACCTCATCCCACTGCCGAGAAATCCTTAAATGTCCCCAATCAAATCCCTCTCCGTTCTCCTTTGGAATGCGAATGGTATTCGAAATCACATCAACGAGCTAACAATCTTATTACAGGACAAAAACATTGATATAGCATTAATAACTGAAACTCGACTTACCAACAAACGACCACTTAACATCCCCAACTATCATATCTATCGAACCGACCATCCTGATGGAACAGCACATGCTGGCACTTTCATAATTATCCATCAATCCCTTTCCCATCACCTATTCCCTTTGCTGACCCATAATTTCCTACAATCCACTGCCGTGATAATCCAAACTTCTCCTTACCCAATAGCAGTAGTCGAGGCATACTCCCCGCCTAAAATACCTATCTCAGAATCCCAATTAACTTCCTTCCTTAACTCCTTAGGATACCACTTCCTTCTAGGTGCAGACTTAAATGCTAAACACCAGCAATGGGGCGCCAGAACCACAAATTCCAAAGTACGAACATTGCTATCTGCACTTAATTCCCATCACAGCAACATCCTCTCACCCAATTCTCCCACATACTGGCCAACAGATCCTAACCGCAATCCCGATCTCCTAGATTTTTTCATCCACAAAGGTCTAGGGTCCCTTAATTATAGCATTTCAAGACTTGATGAACATTCCTCAGACCATAGTCCCCTAATCCTAACGGTCTCCACATCACCAATTCCCAAACCACCTCCACCTTCATTTATCAGGGGGCCAGTTAATTGGAACCTCTTCCGTCAAATACTGGATGATAATATTGACCTCAGAGTTTCCTTAAAAACACCTGCAGACCTAGATGAAGCAGTATATTCCATGACTACCTTGATCCAACAAGCAGTTTGGACTGCATCTTCACCTGATCCTTCTAAAAAATACCGCAAAATAAATCCTCTACCCCAAGACCTACTGGACCTTATTAATAGGAAACGATGCTCTAGGACCATCTGGCAAAGAACCAGGCATCCTGATGATCGGAAATCATATAACTATTATTCCAAGCAGGTAAAACAAAAACTGGCTACGTTTAGATCCCAATCCTATAATTCCTATCTTTCCTCACTATCTGCAAGTGATAACTCCCTCTGGAATGTAACAAAAAAAATCCTTAAATTCCAATCCATTTCTCACCCCCTCCGCCGTGATGATGGTTCCTGGACTTCGTCAGATGAGAATAGAGCAGAAGAGTTTGCTAAACATCTATCGTACACATTCACTCCTCATCCTGAACTCCATCCCTCCCATACTGCTGAAGTTAAAGAATTCCTCTCTTCATCGATTCCTCTCTCCTTACCTCCTACAGCCGTCAACCCCTCTGAGGTCAAATTGCTTTTAAAGAACCTAAAACCTCGCAAATCTCCAGGACACGATCTCCTTACTTCCCAGATCCTCAGACAACTTCCCAAAAAAGCAATTATATTCCTTACATATCTATTCAACTGTATCTTCCGCACAACCCACTTTCCCCTGGTGTGGAAACACTCCATAATCATCCTCTTCCCAAAACCAGGTAAATCTGTTAATAATACCTCATCCTATAGACCAATAAGCTTGCTCCCAATCCTCTCCAAAATCTTTGAAAAAATCCTTCTCAAACGCATCATACCCATACTCGACTCGAATCCCACTATATCCCTTCCCATCAGTTTGGATTTCGCTCAAGACACTCCACTGTCCAACAAGGCCTTCGCGTTGTGGACCACATATCCTCTGCACTTGAAAACAAGCAATATTGCACTGGTGCCTTTCTGGACGTAGCTCAAGCTTTCGACCGGGTGTGGCACGATGGCTTGCTTTTCAAGCTCAAAACCCATTTACCTCAACCCTTGTACCTAGTCCTCAAATCTTACCTTTCAAATCGCTCCTTTCAAGTCCGCTGCGGCACTGAACTCTCCAAACATTATCCAATTGAGGCTGGTGTTCCACAAGGCAGTGTCTTGGGCCCAGTTCTTTATATCCTTTTCACCGCTGACATCCCTTCAAGTCCTGATACCTTCCTAGCAACATTTGCTGATGATACTGCCATCCTATCCTTCCACTCGGATCCTCTAATAGCGTCCCGGAACCTGCAAAGACAAGACCTCTCCTTCATTGAGCAGTGGTGCAACAACTGGCGCATCAAAATTAATGAATCAAAATGCAAACATGTAACTTTCACTCTTCGACGCAGATCCTGTCCGCCAACCCTTTTTAATTCAATTCCTCTTCCCTACTCAGACACAGTACGATACCTTGGCTTCCTTCTGGACAAAAGACTGACTTGGAACCCACATACGAGACTTAAAAGACAAGAGCTTAACCGACGATTTGGTCAGCTATATATACTACTAAACAGAACATCTCATCTCTCAACAGAAAACAAATTATTTATCTACAAGACCATACTGAAACCTATCTGGACCTACGGACTTGAACTGTGGGGGACAACTAAATCATCGAATATCAAACGCATCCAATCCTTCCAGTCCAAAGTCCTTCGAACAATAGTCAATGCTCCATATTATGTCACGAACAAGACCCTACACCATGACCTTAACATCCCATATGTCCATGACATCATCCCATCCAGATTCTCCAACTTTCACCAGAACCTCATTCATCATCCCAATCCTCTAGCGCAATCCCTATCCAGCTCCGAGCATCCATACCATCCCCCTCGAAGGTTGAAACGGCAGTGGCCTCGAGATCTTTTGTAAATATGCCTTTGGAGTCCTGGCAATGGCCAGCTTCTCCACTCATGTCCTGAGCGTCTGTGGCTGTAGTGCCCTCTTTCAGTCTCCACTGGCTTCTAATACTAGTGATGCGGCTGGAAAAGTGGCACTGGGATCTTCCGGAGTCTTGCTTTGCCTTCCGCGTGTGGAGGGAAAAGCCTGGCTCGGAGATTCTTGGGCAAATGTATATATTGTATATAGTTATGATTGTGTTTAGAAGTTTTTATTTTATTTTATTTGTTTATTTTTATTTTTTATTTTTATTTACCTTCTTCATCAGTATTATTTATTTACTTCTTATATTTATATTTATTTCTTTATTATTTGAATATATTGTATGAATGAGAACTTTTAGCCCTAATGCTTATAGCCCTCCAGCAGTGGCTGATTGTATTATTATTCAATAAATAGATTAAAAAAAAAAAAAAAAGTTTATGCACCATTCTTTAAGGTTTCTGATATGTGATTGGAGAGTTTGGGATGCTGTTGATGGATCATTATTAACAGATAGGATACATGTGTCATCAGCATATGTGGTGATGACAGTGTCAGGATGGGTTGGGATGTCAGCTGTATATGATTCATCAATAGAAATATTCTTATCAGAATCCATACCTCTAAATATAAATAAACAAAGAAGAAGAGAAAAAAAAAGTATCTCTAATAAGAAAATTTACAAAGTAAATACTTAATAACTAATCTATTTACAAATCTATATACAATTATTAAATAAAACATTTTCAATAAATATATAAAATAAAAGAGTCAGAGTAAAAAAAATAAATAAAAATAATGATAAATAATCAGTAAAACAGAGAGAGAGAAAAAAAGTATATATGAGTCTGAGGTACGAACTCAAGATTGACAACAAGTAATACGAAGCGCCGTGACCATGACCTTGAAAGATAAAACCCGCTGAGGGGAATTATCTGCCACATAAACTATCTCTAGCAAACCAACACCAGTTTAATGCTGCTAATTGTTAATAATAAGTCACTCACCTCACTGATTGTAAAGTAAAATGTTAAACTGTTTATCAACTCACTGTTTACAAAGTCTGAGAATAGGATTTCAGATAATAACCAGATGACAACGCAAAGACAGAACGATACGAATATTGGACTGCAGTTGCGGCCATGATACTTAATACTTAAATACTTTTAATGATATAATATATATACCAATATAATATAATACGGATACATATACTGATATAATACATGTACAGATTACGAGTTCGAGTCCTGCTGCCGGGGTATTTGACTCTGGCATTAATCTATCCATAACCCCTGGCCCGGAAGTAACAACGAATCCAAATTCGGGTCTCTACGATGATCCATGGTCGAGTTATAAGGGTTAGTAACTTTGGGGCATCCGCACCCCTCCAGCCTAAACCTACCATGTACTGAGGTGGAAACATGGATTAAGACATCCAGGACAAGAATTTGTAGAGAAACCGCGGTGCGGATTTTCGCATACTCAATCGCACACACCGCCTAGACTATTATGAATAGTAGTGTCAAAACTCTCCAATAAAGTCAATTTCAATACAATTTCGTATTCAAGAGTTTCAGAGAACACTAAACAGGAATTCTTCTTGACGAAAATTTACTTGACATAGTTTACAGGATGGGTTTTTATTTTAGCAATTTTTTATACATTTTTATTTATTTAATAATATCGGCAATGTTTTCTTTTACCTTACTCAAAAAAAAAAAAATAATAATAATAATAAAATAAAATAATGAGCTATACAGGGTGAATCAGGATTAAGTGGCCAAACAGCAAAAATAAACTAAGGACCTCAAAACAAGAAAAAAATTCCCCTGAAAGTATGTCCGCAAACGCTTTTGTTTAAGCAGCTTTCCAATTTTAATTTAATTAAGGCAAACAACTGTAATGAGTACAAAATATGCAACATTCAACTTATTAGCAACATTCGACTTATTTATACAGTGGACTGTATTTTGATGAAGTGGTAGGTTATATGTATTGTGCAAATTGACTCACCCTTTCACGCCGGCATAGACATCATACTTAACTGAGGGCCCTCCAGTCTACTAGTTCATGCCTCTGTGGATATCTGGAATGTAGTGGGGCCATTGCTACTGGTAGCTGACACGGATTAACTTTTATCTTTCAGATCTTATCTGATCTGCCCCCACCACTCAACTCAACTCGACAATCGGGCACAATAGCTTTACACAAAACCGCATAGACAAAAAAGCATAGAATTTTTGTTTAATGTCACCCCAAACAAGAAAATCCAGTGGTGTCAGGTCTGGAGAGCGCGCAGGTCAAGCCACTGGTCCTGCACGGCCAATCCATTGGAATATGGGATATGATTGAGAAAAGTCCGGTCAATGACCTTCATTCCGTAATGTTCCTTACGAAGAAGGATAATTTAATCTTGTGTAACAATAAAACATATCCAGTGCCGTTCTGCCACTGTTGCTGTTGAACAAAGATGCCGATCCTGTCTTAATGCTCAAGGAAATCACTTTGAAGAACATTTAATATGAATGTTAATGCTTAAATTTAATTATTAAAGTAGTTAGAGCAAATAAATAGGTTTTATTTATTTCATATAACGTAAATAATTCATAACAACGAAAATCTTTAGGTGTGAATATCTCCTAAACAAAGCGTTTGCGGACATACTTTCAGAGTGAATTTTTTTCCTATTTAGAAGTCCTTAGTTCATTTTTGCATTTTGGTCACGTAATCCACACATCCAAACACCTTGTATATCTCCCTCAGAAAATAAGAATATTAACAAATATTCAAATTGTATGAAATAAAATGATTTTTTTTTTTTTTTTTTCACGGCTCCTAGGAAGAAATTTGGCCAGAATCCTCCAGCACATCTCTAATATTTTTCGATCTAGAATCACCTAAACAGCTTTCTGTTAAATCGGTGATTTAGCTTCCATAACTTCATCCTTAAAAAAATATTATGCCTCCCATGAACCATTCGAATCTGTGCTCCTATGCTCCGATTCGACATTCCAGGACTCCTATACGTCTGTGGCAGTTAATAGTTTATTCTGTTTCGTCAGGAGTTGGTCGACTATCAGATCGGAAGACCCTCTTTGGGCTCTATTAAATGGGTCCTGTTAATCAAATAATCGATAAGGAGAAAAAAAAGTGGTGGTTAAGCGTGATCTAGGTCAGATATGCTCCACAGATTTCCTCCCTCATGGGTTATTGTGGTACAGTTGTTACTATTATTAACAATTAGAAATGATTTGAATAAATTTTAAATTTTTGGAGTCAAGTTGGCAATAAATAATTTTAAACGACAATTTATTTTTTCTTTCTTTGGCAAAACAATCACTTGCTATTAGTTACAGAATCAAAATGGTCCATCGAGGAAGAACTTGTCTTATGCTGCTGCTTCAAATACTTTACTTGTAGTTTATATTTTGTATAAATAAGATACACATGTTTTCATTGAATGATTGATATTGTCTATTTATTGTGTATTAATTAATTTATTGTGTATTTAAGTAATTTTTATATTTCAGTGGTACTAAAAAATTATTTATGGACATTGGAGTACCTCCCTGGTCATGGTTTGGACAACATAGCAATTTTAACGGAAACCGCGTGGGATCAGAGTTCAGTTTAACAAGTTTACTCACCAACAAACAAGACAGCAGTGAAAACAACAAAGTTGTCATATTATGTGGAATCCCCAAATAAACGTTTTTTTATTTATGACAGTTTTTCAACTCCTTTTCTGCATGTAATTGTTACAATATCTTAAGTTAGGAAGTCAACCTATCACTATAATTTATACATTAAATAAATGGATTTCTGTAACTACAAATGTATACTAGTGAATAAGGAATTTCCGTCTTGTATCAAAGTCAAGAAATAGACTATGTGCACAGAGTTATTTATTTTTGGTTTCTTTTACATTATTCTAAACAATTTTATCCATACCAAAAGTAAATTACCAGTATAGTAAACCATTAGATGAGCTACAAGCTATTATAACTTAAAATAGTATTTTACGTCACAGTTTAAATCCTCGACCATGAGTTTAAGCAGAGGTGTCCAGAAAGGTGTTTCATGGCAAGTTGCGCCATCAAAAGTTTTGAGGGGGGAGGGTACATTTTGATGGGGTTATAAATTTTTGAGGGGGCATATTTCGAGGGTATTATGAATTTACGAACCAAAATTTCAAACAAAGAGACAGGTGGGAAGAATAGAACAAACCAATGAAAGTGTAATTATATATGACCTAAGATTTTTAAAATTCTACTTTACCTTGCACTGTTTTTAAGAAGATGAGAGCAATAAAATGTGCGCCATTGACCTTGGCGAGGATGGCCCCCCTGAGTTCCCGAAGATTTCATGGTCGGTAATTGTGTAATAGGCACAAATCTCTAAATTGAATTAGTAGTTAGTAGTAGTTGAATTAGTAGTTGTAACTGATTAAAGAAGTGCTTAAATTGAATTAACATAAACAACAAATAATGCTCCTTTCCACAATCATTTTATGATCTCTTTTTAGTGTTTATTTGTATTTATTATTTATTTATATATATTTAAAAAATATTTATAAATACATTATTTTATTTTCTTCTTTCCTTGCTTCTCGGCAATACAGATTTTTGGTAGAAGTAGTTGATACTTTTACCACTTATTTTCAGATTCTTCAGTCATCGTTAGCGATGATCCCCGACTACTTCCGTCCACCCGTACACGAATGCTTCGTTGTACGGGTAGTTATGCTTACTTAGTAGCTGAGGGACATCATCCTCCGTGATGATGTAGAGTCCGATTTCTCTCAGTAGTTTGACTCTTATTGCTTCTAAAGCGGTGCAAGTCGTGACGATATGCTCAGAAGTTTTCGGAACACCAGAACAGGAATATAGGGGGTTAATTTATTTTCCTAAGTCTTGAAGCTTGGCGCGAAAACCCCCATGCCCTGTCAGGAATTGCGACACCCAATAATCAGAGAGGACCCATTTCGCTTTCAACCTTGAATAGACGACGGTATGAAAGTATTTCCTCAAGGTAGAGCCTTTATGAGTAGTTACCCAACGTCGATTCCACTGCTCAATGGTGTCCTCCCGTATTATTCTTTTCCATTTAGATGGATCTGCCGCAATCCTTTCTTGGAGATTTTCCAAAAGACATGCTGAGCCTTCTTTCTTAAGAATATTCATGATCTTGCCTTCTTGCAGGAGAAGGTCGAGAGGTACCCCTCCTGCTAAAACCTGCACCGCTTCATGAGCATCAGTCTTGTAGGATTTTGTTACTCGCAGAGCCGTTCTCTGGATTGTTGCCAATTTCCTCATCTGTATTTGCGAGAGGTTACGATTCCAAGCTGGGGAGGCGTACCTCAAGATGCTCAGTACTACTCCACTATAGATAGTCATCGTTACTGGGTACCTGAGCCCCCAGAAGGCTCCACCACCAATACGACTTATTCTATTGAGGGCTAGGGTCACCTACTTCTCAGGTAATCCAAGTGAGGAGTAACATTGAATCTTTTACCGAGTCTCACTCCAAGATAGGTTACTTCCCCACTTGGGATTATCCTTATCCTTTGTATATTAATGACAATAGGGTCAGCACTAGCCGTCTTACCCATTAGAAGCATAGCTTGGGTTTTGATGCCAGCCATTTTCTGCCTTTTCCTCTCGCATCATTCTCCGACAAGATTGGCGCACCTTTCTACTTCTCCTTTTAAGCCGGCTCTGCTGTTCTGAATGCCACCACTACGGCCGGGTCGTCGACATAGGACGTGGCAGGGAACCGCTCCTCTTCGAGTACCCCCAGCAATTCATCGAATACTAACTGCCAAAGAGCAGGTCCGAGAACAAAGCCCTCCGGACATCCCCTTTCCACTCTTTCTTCGACTACATAGAAGTTGCCGCATATCCTTACGTTTCGATCTTCTAGATAACTCTGCATTAAGGCATACAAGTTGCTGGGGGCCTCGAACTTCTGTAGCTGTTATAGCTAGTGTTGCTCAAAATTGGTCTTGGTCTTGTTGTTAAGTCAAACTGAGACTATTTTCAGATATAGTACGGTGCTTAAACATTTTAATCATCTAATCTAAACAGCGTTGTTTTTTCTTGTGAAATTATATATTTGAGTACAAGACCAAGACCAATTTTGCGCAACACTAGCTATAACAGCTACAGAAGTTCGAGGCCCCCAGCAACTTGTATGCCTTAATGCAGAGTTATCTAGAAGATCGAAACGTAAGGATATGCGGCAACTTCTATGTAGTCGAAGAAAGAGTGGAAAGGGGATGTCCGGAGGGCTTTGTTCTCGGACCTGCTCTTTGGCAGTTAGTATTCGATGACAGTTCTGCGCATGCGTTAGCCTAAGTTAAACATACGTCAGGTCGTCTCTTACAAAATTCTTCATTAATAGTGGCAGTGTTCAACTTCAATGCGAAACAACAGTGTTACCTGTTATATTAACAATTAAGTTTGTTACTGAACAAAAGAATAAGGTGAGTAATCACTTATTTACAGCTCAATAGTGAACAGTGTAAATAGACCTCTGGTTAGTTACTGATAACGGCCGGCCATAACATCGCTAATCCCACCAGTGGGCTCTGGCTCTCCGTCCGAGGAGGTTCTGTGCCGACTAGTCCTCTCTAAGCACGCGTATATAATTCCGTGCTTAAAAAAAAAAAAAAAATTGTTATCGCTTCTCATTTAACAATTTTTCCTATCATTTATAATATGAAATGCGATATTATCATATGCTAATGTCGAGCAAGGGTAAAAATACTAGGTCCAGAAGCCTCGATACTACAATGAGTTCTCCTATTAAAAAAAGAACAAGACGTTCGAAAAGAAATACTCCACCAGCCACACCAGGGAGCTCTGTTGAAGAAGTGGATCCCCAACCTGGTACCTCACAACAACAAAACAATCATGAGACAACTCAGACTGGTGAAGAATCGCCGTTTTTCACTCAGAACCCATTTCAAGTGCTATCAAATACACAAAACGAAGAAATGGAAGCAGCACCCACCCCCAGGGAACCCAAACCCCCACCAATATTCCTTAGGAATATTAAAAACTTTCAGTTAATGTGTCACCAATTGAATAACCTAGTGGGCTCAGGAAAATATTTATGCCAAAGCCGCACCAATGACACTAAATTAATGCCCGACACTCCAGAAACATACAGAAAAATTATAAAATATTTATCTGACACCAAGGCTGATTACCACACGTATCAATTGCGTCAAGAGAGGGCGCTCAGGGTCGTTATCAGAAGACTGCACCCATCTACGCCAACAGATGCTATAAAAGAAGAGCTCGTGGGTATGGGATTCCATGTTCGCCAGATAGTGAACATATTCAAGGAGGATAGAGAACAGCCTGGAATAAAAAGTAAAATACCGCTCCCACTATTCTTCGTTGACCTTGACCGAACGCCCCAGGTCGAAGACATCTACAAGGTCACACGCCTTTATTACACCAGCGTTGTAGTAGAAAAGCCTTACACCAAGCGCGACATCGTTCAATGCCATAACTGTCAGGCTTATGGCCATACGAAAAGATATTGTCATCACATTCCTAGATGTGTGAGGTGTGGTGAGCAACACAAAACAGAAGAATGTAGGAAGTCTAGAACTTCACCTGCAGTATGTGCCTTATGCCACCAAGGGCACCCTGCCAACTACAAGGGTTGTCAAACATATAAAGAATTAAAAACAAGAATGTACGCAACTCCTAGAGAAGAAGGGACATCCAGGCCACCAAGACAACCCTCTAGAACAGTGAACGGAAGAGTGACCTATGCTCAGATGTTCAAAGGAGACACTATAAACACTCAATCTCAGGCCCTGCCACAAGAACCTCAACCTCGAGAATTCACACATCAACCTCAAGACCCATATCCACCCATCCCTGAACCTAGGTTCAATACCCAATACATTCCTCCTCCTTCCAATTCCACTGACCTCACAAGCCTATTAACTTCTTTCCTCTCTGAATTTAGATCCCTCATCACCCCTCTTATTTCATTACTTACCAATGTTATATCCAACCTCATTCCACCGCCGAGAAATCCATAAATGTCCTCAACCAAATCCCTCTCCATTCTCCTATGGAATGCGAATGGTATTCGAAATCACATCAACGAACTTACAATCTTATTACATGACAAAAATATCGACATAGCACTAATAACTGAAACCCGACTAACCAACAAACGACAAATCAACGTTCCTGGCTACAATATTTATAGAACCGATCATCCTGATGGAACAGCACATGCTGGCACTGCTATAATTATCCACCGATCTCTCTCCCATCATTTATTTCCCTTACCAACCCATAATTTCCTACAATCCACTGCCGTAATAATCCAAACTTCCCTTTACCCAATAACATTAGTTGCGGCATATTCCCCGCCTAAAATACCCATTTCCGAATCCCAAATAATTTCCTTCCTGAATTCCTTAGGACACCATTTCATCCTAGGTGCAGATTTAAATGCAAAACACCAGCAATGGGGAGCCAGATCCACAAATTCCCGAGGGCGAACATTGCTATCTGCACTTAATTCCCATCGCAGCAATATCCTTTCACCTAATACTCCCACATACTGGCCAACAGATCCCAACCGCAATCCCGACCTTCTAGACTTTTTCCTACACAAAGGTCTAGGATCATTACACTGTTCCATTTCAAGGCTTGATGATCTTTCCTCAGACCAC